ATAGTCATCAAACTGAGGTTGAGGATTGTTGCTTCCACAACTTAGGTTAAGTGCTCAAATCATGTCTTTATCTGGTTTAGTTTGACCTAGTTTGATCCCCGAGACACGATGTTTTAAGATTAAAAATGTTTATTCTTCTAGTTAGTTATGTTAACTAAAATGGATTGAACAAATTGACGGAGTATGTGCTAAAATATTGTTAAAGTTTGCAAGTTTCAAACTACTATTATAGGAACTTAGAGATCTCTTACGTCTTGATGTTACTCTCAAAAACATCGTATATTTTTGGTGTAGAGAAAGAAAAGCATTATTTTGGTTTACTTATTACGTATTCCTTTTTAATAATGGACTATTATGAGTTTCATAATGGTCACTTTTTATTTTCTTTACTTACAATATTAGTAAATATAAATGCTAGAAGTCTTTTCTCGATTTTAAAAGTAGGCGTGGTTCGATTCGGTCCAATTTCAAAAGTAACCGTATTGAACAAAGTATTAATGAAAATCTTAGAAATTAACATTAGTTTCATATTCAACTATATAATCAAACTAGAATAGAACCCATAGATTTTTTGATTTTGTCCGCTTTTTATATCGGAATTTTTATTTAAAGTATAAAATTACTTGTCAGATTGAAAATAGATAAAATAGAGTATGAAACTACTTATCATTATTATAATCTACAAATAACAAAATTAAGCAAGGCAACAAACATGAATAAATCAACTCCAAGACTCAAGATCAACTAATAAGTATGTAAAAAGTATAAATTAGTTAACATAATATAAATGTAAAATTCGGATAAAATATTAATTCTTAAGAAAATTCATAAATAATATATTATTAAAAAATGAATGTAGTATTATGGTATTTACGGAGAGGATCAATTGGACATTTATGTGGAGACCCAGGGAGCTCTTTGGTAGCTAAAAGGGTTAGTTTTCCTTGATTTTCTAGAGTCTACCCTCCCTAGGACTTGCAGATTGATTATCTGGTTAAGGTATGTACACGACGGTGCAATATTTGCTAGTTTGACTGGTTGTCCTCCATTGACTATTATTGAAACTGCTAATGAGTTGCCACGCTATTAAGGTAGACCATATACCATTGGATAGTTCTTATTTAACTTTTGTAATACAATGTACCATACATATCACAAAAAATGATGATTTCACATCTGCAAGTCTTGGCTTCGTGAAGCCTTGCTAGTGGGCATGATTTGATTGAGTGAACCCTCTTTTTCTTTACAAACACTATCTACCTTTTAAGTTGAACCTTTTGGTTTAAACACTATCGAAGTTATTAATGAATTGTTTGGTGAAGGTAGACTCTAAGATTCTTGATAATTTTAAGTTAAAAAATAAGTTAAAAGTTTATTGTAGTGCTCAATTTCTTGAAGTTATGGTTTCATGCAGCCATGTGAACAAGTATGGTTTCTTGCCAAATATTTTTAACATCTTTGCTGACATAAACTTATGGCCAAGTCCAAACGAAAAAGGGGTTAAATGGTTCAATGTGTAGTATAATATTTTTGCGACATGTCATATATTCTTAATCCAAGTGTTCAACTTTAAATCAAATATATAAATTACTCATTTTTTACAATTTAAAATTGATTATAAATAAATAAAGTTTCATGAGTGTAAGCTCTACTCAAGAAATGTATTCGATTTACTAAATTTACAGAAAATGAAGTTTCATAATAATATCGTTATAAATCACATGCAACGAACATGAGGTGTACCAGTATATGGTAAAAGTGTAAATATACGTGAAAAGAAAATATCATATCTCTACTTTTAAAATACAAGGTAATGAATTTGGCTTAATTATCACTTAAACTCGTGATGATCATGAGCCTACATATATTGCACTATTCAAAGTTAATCATTCTCTTCTCTAGGTCTGATCGAGATCTAAATCTGTATGAGGAAAGCAAAAAAAAATGTTTTTTCTAACATTATTATTATTATTATTATTATTATTATTATTATTATTATTATTATTATTATTATGATTTCAACTTCAAAAAATTTCTTCTTTTGGTGATATGGAGTAAATATTGAAAAATAATGTAGGATTAATTTAGTGAATGACCACTATTATCACTATTTTATTATATTTTATAAGAGTTGACATGAATATTCAACTACGTGGTTGTAGTTGAGCCATTGATTCACCGACCCACCTTCTCGTCTAGATTAGTGCCAAGACCAAGTTTCCGTAACATAATTTATGGTAGCAGTTTTCCATTGTCAATACAATAGTACAAGTTTCTACGTAACTATTTGTAAATAAGATTTTAAAGTAAATGTATTTGTAATGCTTTATTTGTCCCAGTTTCATAACCATGGCTAATCAAAATCAAGTTTTTGTGATGGTTCCTACTCTGTCCAAATCTATGTACGAGTGTCCTACGATGGTATTATGGCCTATAAATAGATTTCATACATTTTGGGGGCGGTATTTTGCCATTGCAAACGAGTTTATTCCATAGGGTGACTTTAAAGGAACCAAACCCGATTTCAAATTGACAAACCCTAATTTGTAGGTGAACAAAACCTAAGCATTGAGGTTTTCATGTACAAATAATTACTCTTTTCTTTCTATTGAATGTTTTTCATGTTCAACTTGAAACCTTGTATTTTCATATTATCTTTCTCGATTCACGGCCTTTCAAATCTACACACATTTAAGTTGGACAATGTTAAACACATCATTTAAAATTTTTAGTTGTTAACAGTTTTCAAATAATCCATCTCATGCGAATACCCGTTCATTTTTATCAAAGGCTAACACATGTGCAATGTTCATAGATGGATGACACTGAGATTTATAGTCTAGACATTTACTTATTCAAATAGGACTATGCTACTTGTAAGAAAATAGAACCGGACTATGCTACTTGTACATAATTTCTTATACATAAGGGTGTCCACTATCTCACATGAGGTGGACCCCGCATGATTAAAAAAATAATTTTATTCATGTGGGGTCCACCCCATGTGAGAGGGTGGACACCCTTATGTACAAGAAATTATGTACAAGTAGTTTTATCCATTCAAATATCACGTTGAAACACCTCATATAGAATCCTATGCTCAATGAGTGAACATAATTATTTATTTAAATCCAGTCTTTAACACATCGGATCACTTTGCATATTGATGAAAAACTCACAATCTATATTATTTAGGTAATACAAGTACAACAAAAGTAACATGTACAAACTCATGGAAACAACTAACACCACTTGCTGCAAGAGCTCACAGGTAGCTTTTATTTAGAACATATCATTGGAAACATAAACACAATACAAACTTGTAGACAGGCAAAAGGCGTGACCTCCAACAAGTACATATAAATATGTAGTAATAGACTACGTGATTAGCAATGACGGTAGTTGCAGTAGCAACCATATTTCTCACTATGGTGATGTTTTCGACAAGCACCATTGTAAGCTCCTTCATGTTGCTGACAGTAATGGCTGCATTTATGATTTGCACACGACCCACGCCATCCTTTGCTGAGTTTGGAGCAAGGTTTTGCCTCCCCCATTTGCATCTCTGCATAAAAATTGGATTGGGAAAGAGAAGTAGTATCAGTTATTCGATAAATATACATCTATATTTTATTGTACTTTTGAGAACACTTCTTTTGCGGTAGGCATAAATCTTATCAATTGTATATATTCTCTAAGTTTCTTATCATATTAAGAAAAATGAAAAACAAGCAAAAATTCACTTGATACAACACATAGGAATGTTGTTTTTTTTTTCGGTGAAAATGTGTCAAGAAAAACTATGAAAAATAATGAATAAGGTGATAAACTGTTTCTGGTTATTTTCTCATTATAATCACTTGCATTGCAAAATAATGAATAAAGTGAGGACATATATTGTTACATTCGACTGAATAGAATTGGACTTGATTGAATGTGAAAAAAATTGAGTAGTTCTTTCAACAAATCTTGTTCAGTCATATGTAATGAACATGACGATGTTTTTCCATAATGAAAGCAGTAATGAAAAGTGAACTATCCACTCATCGAGTGCACGACTACCTACCGAAGGATGCAATAATGAGGAAGCAGAAGAAGAAAGCAAGAAAAGTAGCCTTGTTGAGTTTAGCCATGTCTATGTACTCTTAATTTCAAGTGCTTGTGATAGTATACAAGTGAGAAGATGTATTTATAGAAAAATGAAGCAACGATGCAATTCATCATAATTTTTTTAATCAAATGTGAATAATAATTAATAGATAATGACTGAATCGAGTATTTATGATTCAATTAATTAAATATAAATAAATGATAAGAATAAAACAATTTGTAGCCGTTTGACAATCTCAAAGTCTTCAACAGACCTGCAGTTAAAAATATCCGATTAAATCAAACGAAATTCTATACTCATGATCAGCCAAAGACGCGGTTTCAATTATAAAAAATATTAGAGAAAATATTTAGACCTTTCAATAAATTTACCCATCATAATAATTTGTTCATATAATCTTTTTATTTACTTCGATATAAATTAATTTTTGTGATAGGTGTGAAAAAAATCTTTAAGATACTTCCTAGTACTATAATAATTTGGAAATTGTAATTCAATTTCAATTCATGTCAAATATGTATATACAAAGAAAAAATGCACTGCATAAAATTAGTAATAAATGTGAAATGTGTAAGATATATTGGCAATAGGTACATATATATAACAACATGAAGGGGCGACGTTAGACTTTTTGATCTTTTAACCATGGTTTGAATTGATAAATCCCCTATAATATACGTGAAAAACACATAATTTTAAGTTGCCTTTTCATTATAAACGATTGGATGAAATAAATATTATTTATTTATTTATTTAGTTGAAAATTGAAGAGAAATGGGTACGGATTAACGTACAGAGTTCTATGAGCAAGTCATGAAAGTGATCATACATGGAATAACATAAAATAAAGTTGACCATGAAAAATACCAAAGTAAAAGTATGAATAGATCATAGTTTCCGACTATGAATTCATGGACTTAATTCAGCGTACCATGTTGATCACATTGACTTAGGTTAAGGATTGTTGTTTCCACAACTTAGGTTAAGTTCTCAAATCAAGTCTTTGTCTGGTTAGATTGACCTCGTTCAATTCTAAGATATGATGTTTGAAGAGTAAAAAGGTATATTCTCGTAGTTAGTTATGTTAACTAAAAGGGATCTTACCTTATCCAAAAAACTAAAAGGGATCTCTTACGTCTTGATGTTAATCTCCACATTTTGAGGAGTTGTTTCAAAAGTGTTATTTTCTACTTAGAGAAGCATTATGGTATTTATGGAGGGGATCAATTGGACATTTATGTGGAGACCTATTTCGAGGTTATGGCTTACTCCATCTCGCCCTGGGAGCTCTTTGGTAGCTAAAAGGGTTAGTTTTCCTTGATTTTCTAGAGTCCACCCTACCTAGGACTTGTAGATTGATTATGAGGTTATTGTATGTACTCGACAGTGCAATATTTGCTAGTTTGACTGGTTGTCCTCCATTTTCTCGAGTTCCTGGGTCGATCATAACTATAGTCAAGTTTTGAGGTTAAGTCCCTGTTTGAGGATCATTTTTTGAAAACTTTTTTTGTGCATACTAATTTTCACACACACATTCACACAATTAAATATTCTATATGTAAACCCAAAAATTTTCTCACTTTTTAACCATATATTTTTCAAAAATTCACTATTCAAAACAACGTTTTACCAAAAAATAACCACCAAATTGGGACTAAGGTGGACGTGCTGATCGAAAAGACATGTCCTCCTCTTTAACTGATCATTGCATAGTCTATTTGTATTGTTCATCTCAGTATATGAAGTAACGGATCTAACATATCAAACAAAAATACTGATGCAAACACTCTTAGTACTACCTTTAATGGTGCTCGATAGACCCCCAAGTTTTCTCGTCTCTTCCTTTGTGTTGCTTTCATTTTTTTCCTCTGTCTCAATGATTTAATGAATCATCTCAATATAATTGAATAGGCATATATATATATATATATATATGGGATTGGATAGGGAAACCTGAAATGTTAGAGCAGAGACAATAACTATTCATCTAAGATCGCGGGATAAGTCGAGGAATAATGAAGATATGGACTTTTCAAATGATAAATTTACACAATCTTCTTTAAGTAACAAGTACAATAGCAACCACGAGTTGAAGAAATGTTATAATTAGTATATAATGATGGTAGGGTTCACGAGTATGGTCCCTAACTTTCACATTGTACTCATTCTTTTAAAATCGAGTAAGTTTACTGTTGTTGCACATTCAGGTGTATCAAGTATTCATTATTTATAAAACATGCCAATTAACTATGGTAGTTTAATTAAAAGAAATCCTACAATTGCAGCCATCGGAAAAGACTTACTCAACAACTTAAACTCGAGAATATTTACATGTAATGAAAATTTTCGTATCTATAACCCACGTGTTTAACGAACAATTGACTATTATTGAACTACTAACGAGTTGTCATGTAATTAAGATTGTATCAGGGGCGGACTCAGGAGGGTCCTGGGGGCAGGGATGTAGCCAGGATTTTAATTTTGCGGGGGCGAAAATATGAGGGGTGGAGGGGGGCGGGCCTCCGATTTTTTTTT